TTTACTTTTCTCCTTGAGACATTTAACTCCATCTCAGTGTAGGGAATCAGCTTGTAAATTTACATTTTATTTTTGGTATTTTAGGGCCAAAAGTTGGAAACAAGACTTTTTTTTTTCTTCTCCTTAATTTAATGTTTACACTGAATAAAAACACATCACATACTGAAAAGACATTTTGTGTTATGAAGAGAACGTTCTTCATTTTTATCTTGTGTCATTTTGAGATATTTATTGCTGATTATTTTGAGTTTAAAATCAGTATTATATACAGGGACGTTCATTTGTATCTTGTTTGTGTCAGTTATCAAAGCTCCACATCAAAGAGGATAATTTCATGTGCCGGCACAGTGGTACCTTATAAGGTCATGTAATGGTTAATAAAATGCTAATAAAGAACATTAAATTTGTCTGTTTCTGTTGATTTTTGTGCAGCTCAAAGCAAATCATCTACACAGCAGCCACTAAGTGGGAGTAGCACAGTTGTTTCTAGTAATGGCAAAGCCTCTCAGACCTCACTGAAGAAAGACACACTGATTTTGATGGGTAGGGTTGTAAAAAATATGTAAACTGTACTTTAACTGTGCTTTCAGAAATGTATGTTTTTGTTTTGTTTGTTTGTTTTTCCCCTAATATCTCATCATTCATTCATTTCAAAGTCTCGTAGCTCACTCTGGAGCCCCACCCTGTCTCTTGATATAGTTAGTCATCATCTAACCCACATGATGATTCTGTAAACAGAGATGATATACACTTTGTTATCCGTTTCATCAACAAACTGAGTTTATTTATATAACTTCTATTCACAACTGCGGTCTTAAGACACTGTATATTGTAAGGCAGACCCAGCAATGTTAAGGAGAACATCAGCAATCAGAGAATCTCCTGTGAGCAAGCGATGACAGGAAGGAAGAACTCCCTTTTAACAGGGAGAGACCTCCATCAGGATGAGATTTAGGGAGGAGCAGCCATCTACTTCTACTGGTTGGGTTTTTGTTGTTTTTGTGTAGAGACTATAATGTCTCTTATGGATGTATAAATCTACATATAAGATGACAAAGAATTGGAGTACAAAAATTTGAATAAAGAACAACTTACTACAAGTAAGGGAGATGCGAGTCTTAGTAACAACAAATAAAAGTAAAAGATCATGACCCAGCTACACAATGGGCCCTTGTTTATGAAGTCTCGTTCTCTTTAAGGAGAATTTAGCTGGGATTTAACTGAGACAGACTTTTTTTTTCTTTTTAATTTCACACAGGCCACAGTCTTCAGCTAATCTTGACCTGACCGTGTGATAGAAATCGTCCAAAGTTTGTCTTTTGAAGCACTGAAAACTGGAACTCTGGG